CTGTTTCTGTGACTGTATAAATTATATTTTTATAAATTGTACAAAAACCACTTAGGGTGGTTTATACATTGTTTCTTCCATTTTTTTTTTATAAAAGACTAGTTTTATTGCAGTAATAAAATTACACAGACGTGTAAAGACTTTCACAAAATGTTAAACTGAACACACATTTCAGTTCATTTGTACAATATCCATTCAATTACATATGTTGCACAATTCCATTTTCTAGGCACAGACGACTGCTAAGATCATTGTACAACTTTCTCGGATGTAATCGACTCTCATAATTATAACGACTTAAGCATGCTAAATCTTTAATATTGTTTAATCATGTTACATAGAACAAAACATTGAAATATGCTTCCCAACGATAAAAATCATGTTATTAAAGTAATACACATAATCTGTCTCTTCTTAAGTGACCATTCTCTACTTATGAAGGAATCAGAAATATATATATGTATACGTAGTCGCATCGAACAGCGAAATGTCAAATATAAATGTACAAAAGGAAAAAGGAATCAATCGTTAGCACTTAGTCAATATCTAAGCTATTAGACTAACTATGTAATAATTATAACTACAGAAAGAGATTAAGCCAAAGATATACGTACAACATTTAGTATATTTTATAATAAAAATAAACTATTGCTCCTGCTAGCAATAGTTTAATTTTTAAGAATCTTATTTCCAATATTTCTAGTACTTTTCTTCCTACGTCTTTCGGGTATTTATATATGCTTTTGATTTTAACACATCTACAATGGCATTTGCATTTCTCTTCGATTCACAAAAATATTTCTATCTAATAGGATTAATACTTTAAACGAAGCAGTAAAAAAAATGTATGTTTTACGATATTTTCGTCTATATACTTTTTATGCTATACATATATGGCAACAGCTATAGAAGAATCATACTACTACTATTTAATTTTGTAATTTTTCATGTTTTATTTATATTATGNTTTATACTTCACTTTTCGTTCATATAGCAATCTTTTCGCGAACATAAAAATAGATTTATACATCTGATTAAATTGTAACATATACACGATTCCGTATATTTATAGATTGCAATGCACATTATCATAATGCGAAAGGTATTTGTTATATCACTTTTCTTCTCATGTTTAGTCATTTCATCAAGTCACAAAATACAGTATTTCGCTTTCCTAATGATCGAACCTATGCCGTTTATAATAATTACATTTGATTGATTCATAATGTAAAGGCAAAATGTGACAACTTAATTACGTTATTATGACTGAAGTTTTTTTCTGATGACAAAATATATATGTACGTGTATCGACAAAACTTTCTTCAAATCCATGTATATAATATCTGTACAATTTGCACAACGTATGCGCATTTCATCTTACTTTTAACATAAAAATACGTTACTTAGCTTACCCTAATCGTCAATCAGCGAAAATTTGAATTCATTGTATGATACAATTTTTATCTCTTCTAAAAGCGAGCGATTTATAATACATAAAGCATATGTACTACAAACAAATGGTAGTCCACAAAATATGATGAACCTTAAAAAGATTTGTAAAAATGAAATGATTGGTCCGTTTTAGAAAAACGATAAAGGACAAACGTGAGTAATTCTTTTAATGAAAGACTCGCAATAACTCAATTCGTGTATAAAAATTCCACAAAATCTAACGTTTGATCCGATTATTTTGTAAAAGATTTGATATCCTTATAGATCCGTTCCTTATTTACAGCGTGATTAATTTATATAATACAGTCCGTTCAAATTGATCAGTGAAAATAGAGAATGGAGTATATGTACAGTAATGCGATTCCAATTAAACCGAATATTTTGGATCACATTTTTTTATTGGCGTTAATCTGAGGCCTTTAGCCAACATTTGAGCTTCGAGGTCGCGATCTTCGTCTTGATACCTAAAAGAAAATTATGCTTCCATTAACTACGTGTTATGACAGAATTTAAATATGATACATCCTTGTTTCGTGCAAATGTAACACTGTGGCAATTAATATGAGAGAAGCAACAAATGATATTAAAGTACTTTCATGTGTAATCGTATTTACTTCTCGTAAAATTTGTCTGTTCCAAGTTAGTAAAATCATATACGATATACTTCCATTCCTTCACAAAAATCTTCAAGCAATGGACGTCGCGTAAAATGAACGCGATCATAAGCCTTTGGTTCTTACCGTTGTAACGGACGTATGTGTTTAGGAAAAAATTACCATAAACACATACAGTAATATATTTTATTCTCTTCGAAGTTAATAATTGATGAGCATTTAAAAATTTAACAATTAGTTTCTCGCCTGTAGGTGATTAACAATAAGTATAATTTCAAATACAATAAAAATATTTTCACTCTTGCACTACGACACAGTCGCGTGTATTGATACATCACTTCATATAACAATGCAAAAAAATGTACATAACAAAATAACAAAAAAAGAAGAGATGTGTACGTGAATGTCATGCGCATAATTGATGATCGTGATCAAAATCTACGAAGTGTAAAATTCAACTTTCTTATACCATGCATTTTTGCGTGCATTATAATCTTAAAATTGTGATCGCTGTATAATCGATATGTATATTTATGAAATAGATGTAAACGATATTCTAACAGGAAAATGTCAATAACAAAATGCATTGCACAAGATTATTAGAACACGAACAGTTCCAAGGTTGGATATGTAAATGCGAGATCATATCTAAAATTAATTAAGTAAAACTACTATAAATGCTGAATGCTTTTTAACTCATTCATAAAATATATATAAATGCAAATTAAGAGTATATAACAATTTAAAAGAAAAGATTATGAAACTCTAAAAAGCGTTAGTGACTCATAAAAATTAATAAACAGTTCTATCACGTTAGTCAACAACACGTACGCGATGAAAATGACTATCAAAGTGAACACAGCGGATGTATTGTCCGAATCGTGTGAAGTAAAGTTAGGCCCGTGCGAGGAATAGGAAGTAGTACGTATAGGAAAAGGAGTTAACGTTTGGTATGGAGAGTTACAGCACCTTTGTCGCTCTTCTTCTAAAAGGGCGATCAGCGAATCCCGCTTTGCGACTATTTCTAACATTTCTGTTAGAATCTCTCCTTCCTTCTTCACATCGGCACTGGTTTTCTTGTCATCTGTGAAATTTTAATTATATTTAGTACTTTTATGCCCTTCTATAGGATATTTCTTTAATGACTTGTACTAATATTTTTAATTCGTTTGACACATAATTTACTACTAAAATATTAACCATCGTCAGCCAAGCGTTCGCGCAATTCCTGTTGCAATCTGTCGTGGCGATCTTCGAGTTGCACTTCTTGCGCTCGTACCAGAAGTTCTTTCTCATACCTACGTAGTTCCGTACGTTCTTTCATAAGATCGAACCATTCTCTGAGCAAGTCGGCTTCTTCTCGATCGGAGCATTCTAAAGATCATAGATGTACACTTGAGTTGGGAGTCTCGTTAGAACAGAAGCGTTAGTAACGAATGGTTCTTACCGCCTTCTCCGCGAAGAGCTTTCTCAACGCTTACACCTCTACTTTCTAGTTCTCTTTGTTTGACTTCTGTTTCTTCCAATTTTCGCTGTATTTCTTGGGCCATGCGCAACCTTTTTATGACATTTATGAATGAATTCATTTTAAGTTGAAACTCAAATTGAGAGAAGAATTGTAAATGTAAATGATAATTCTTTCTGCGTACCTTTTCAATTGCGCTTGTCTAGCGATCCGTTTTGTAGTTTTCGTTTTACGCGAAATGCTGTTGCACGAACCTTCGGTTATCGTCGCTTTTTGCATGCACGATTGAGACACTGCGGTTGTTTTTGTGTCGTCCTCTGATAAACTGTCGTCTGTAAAAAGTAATGTTACAATATAAGAAATAGGTTTACCTTCTTTTTATACTGTAAATAATATCGCTCAGTTTAGAGGATAGATGAATAGATCTGTTTGTGAGACTGTTTGATGTTATTCATACCTGAGATTTGTGTAGTAGGAATGGTGTAATTAAGAGGTGGCGGTGGAATTGGTGGCGGATTTTCATTTAGGAAGTTCCTCGAAAGCATACCCTCGCAAACACTTTTCGGTCTAATGTTAATCTTCGGTGACAGGACTTTATCAAGCTGAAAAAATGATTTGTTATAAGACTTGTCTCCCAGAATAAATTTTGTAAATACAAAAACTTGCTATTCTTTTTAAATTAATATTAACATTGAAAATAAAATTCATTTAAAGTGCATTGAAGCTTGTACAAATTTAATAAAATTATGAAACACACATATGTAATTGTAAAAAGTTTGTAAATATAACGAACAATGAATCGGCAACTGAAATTGGTAAAACGATTGATATTGTTGCATGTACATTTTAATGGAGTATAAATAAAATTAGGCTACTACAAAATAAGCTACCTATTCACCCATTTGTTAACGATGCTTGTCTTAATACTCCCTCGTATATGTTAGAAACAATTTGATTACTGCACACGAAAATATAAAACGAACATAGCGAGATATAAACTTATATACAATGAAGTGTTAACATGCTTTTCTGAAGGACAGACTTGTTACTAAAAGCATTGAACAGCTTAAAATAAGTATTGAATTAGCTATAGCCGATCAGTGTATTACCCCTTATTATTTGTACAGTTATAGCCGGACAGTGGGTTACTCCTTGAAAGCGAACGAAGAAAGTGCGGCAAACGAAAAATAAAATCATAGTACCTGCACGATATACAATAGCGAATACAAATAGTGGCATAAGGAAAGCTAATACTGGAAAAATTAGTATCAATGACTTATGAGTTGCTTACATCAGACCCTTCCGAATACGATTTACATAACTGAAACATTTCAGAATCTAATTAGTTCAGAAACTACTTGAGAATATATAGTATAATGTTCACGCTGTACAATAGGAGAGAAATGTAAAGATTAGATAAAGAATAAATTTTCGTTTACATACTTTGCCTTTCGACTTCGACGTTAGACGGAACATGGATAATTTGTCCTTTTGATTGGACGGCGAGGGTGACGATTCTTTCTTGAAGAAGAAATCTGAGACCGCTTGTATGATGCTCTTCCTTCTCTCCGGATCTTTCGTCTTCTGTTTCTTGTCTCTTTTCACAACAGTCGCCGAGTTGGTAGATTTCGAAGGATCGACGTTCAACAGTTCATCCATCGACTTTGCATTTACTGCTGACAGCCCGGCGAAGTTTATCGCTTCGGACACGGCTTTCATATTATCCGTACTCTTGCTCGTATGCAATTTCAGTCCAGTTTTGTTCGTTCCGGAACTATAAAGTCTCATTCGGGGTTCAGGCTGCGATTCTTCTTTGCTTCTTCTTTCTTCCATAGACAACTGTCTTCGCGCCACTTTCATTCTCAGTTCCTTGATTTTGTCCTCCGGACTGAGACCCAAGTCCTCGTCGCTTTTCAATCTGGCTCTCTCTCTGGCATCCTGCCTAGCTTTCTCTGCGGTTCTCTTCGCTTCCTCGTGTTTCAATCTCGGAGGCGCAACGGGTGTTACAAAGTTCTCTTTATTGTTCTCTGTCTTATGTAGTTTACTTTCGGAGAACTGAGCATCGCTACTTTCGTCGTTCGCAATCTTTTTGGTCTCCGGTTTCCAATCGAATGGTTGATCCTCACGGAACGATCCGATTCCCTCGGTCATTTTAGTCTCAGTAAATAGAGTACGCGAGGGACTGTTCTCGGGAGTCGTTATGGACGTCGGTACGAACTTATTAATTGACGAACCGCTAGGAACGGGAGGTCTTATCGGCGACAATCCGGGAGCGGAAGTGAATGACGAAGCCCTAGCGGCTCTTCTCGCTTTCTTCTCCGCGGATTTCTGCTTATGTGCCTCGACCTTGTCCATCAGTAAATCTTGAATCACGTTCTTCTGCTTGGATCTCTCTCTTGTGATTTCCTCCAATTTTCTAGAAGTGGCCGGAGAATTGAAACTGTTGACAGTTTCTTGAGTCTTTATTTCCTCCGCTATCATCTCAGCGGCACGGGATTGCAACGAGCTCTTCGAATTCTTTCTCTTCGATTTTCTAACATCTATGGAATCTTTCGCGTTGCTGAATTCAGCAATTCTCGACTGTAGACGCTTCACGTATTCAAGATAATCAGGATTACTCGAATCAGCTGCCGTTCTTGTTTCCTTCTCCCCTTCAGGTTCCTTTTCTTGACACTCGGTCGGAACGATCAAAACTTGCGGATTCACAGGACTTGCAAGTATCGTAACTACTTCGCTGGTCGTAGTATCCTCGGCTGGTTCGACAATGAGTAAACTATCTTCTTCCATGGATTGGTACAATTCTTTGTTTACTGCTTCTACAAGATTCTCTTCTTGTTGATCCGATTGTAATTCAGTGGGTTCCTTACTATCATTCTTCGATTTATTTACAGCACCGTTTAATTTGTTTATAACATCATCCATTACAACTGGATTTATTTGTACCACGTTTCTAGCATCGTATGCTTCTTCCTCTGAATACGAGTCATTTTCTATGTCTAACTTTGCAATAGGAGCGTCGGCAGTTAATTTATCGCGCGATGCTAGCAGCATTGGAGTGCTTCTAATGTTCACAAATTCTACATACCCCCTATTTTTTAACAAGGCCATGTTAGAAGCATCTTGTAAACTATCATCCAACAGCGATTCGTTATCAGTGTCCATGAAATCGATATTTTCACCGTTAGCCAATAATTTCGAAGTGTCGTTAATAGGCACGTTCAACTGTCTGTCAGATTTAATGGAATCCAAGTCCATGTCGGTCAAATCTTCCTGTTTGGCTATCATAGTCGAAGCGTAATTTCTCCTCGAGGCGTCCGACAATGTACTTTTCTTTCTGGTAGTTATGAATTCTGGATTGATATTAAATTCGACGTCCTGTAGATCGTCCGAGACCAGAACTTCTCCGTCGCGGGCCCATTCAGAGAATTCTGTCTCAGTCAGAGCAGCAGTGGTAATATCATTCTCCTCGGAGTCATCGTGCTTGTTAGATATAGCGGATGCTATCGACGTAGGAGTGCTGCAATTGCTAATGCTTTTCTTCCCGTCGTCTTGCAATTCCAGTTGCTCGATCTCGTTCTTTACTAGCTCCAGTTCCATCGAGGTTTTGTTCGAGAAAGGAAACGGAGAAGGATTCGCAGTGCTTGTCTTGTTTAATTCTTTGTCTCGTAGAAACGAGCATTCTATGGAGTCCGGCTCAAAGTTCTGAGCTTCGTCGAAATCTTTACATTGGTCGGCTTCTTCATCCAGCAGTAGATCACCATCTGTACTGTGAATTTGTAAACGTGGCGGGGACAAGTTCGCAGTCAACGCTGATTGCTTCTGTGCTCCTTCTTCCGCTTCAGCATCACCGGAAGACAGAGAATCACTGTCCATCTCCGAGTCGCCGGTGCTCTCGGCAGCCTCTTTCGCTTCTTCCTTATTTTTATTCCAAATGACCTGCGGTACGATGATAGACGTTTCGTGTAAGGGGCTCCGCGGTCGAAAACCATTATTTTCTTCTGTGTTATGATTATTCTCGGTATTTTGGCAGTTTTTCGCATTTTCCAATACCTCTGAGGTCTTGATCGTGTTCAGTTGACTAGATGATACTTGTTCCTTCGTCAGTTCTTTGTTCGTCACGTCTTTGGATTCACCGCAGACGATGTTCGGTGAAGTCTTAGACTTCAAGATACTGGTTTCTTTCACTAGATCTGGTAACTGGGTCTTCGATATTTCAGGCAATATCGTCGCCTTGTAAATGGGATTATCGTTGTTTAATAAATTCTGAATGGGACGATTGGCGGTGTACGGTTTCATCGGTGATGAAGAGAACATAGCCGTGGGCGATATAGGAGATAGTTGAGTATTGTTCGATCGCAGTTTACTAGTTCCTTGCAAGAACGCTTGCATCGTGGGACTCGGCTCTGGCGCCGGATTCAGTAGCTTTTGATGTTGAGAAATCGCATCAGTGAAGTTTCTCAATTGAGTATCCACGTTCGATGCTGATCCCGACTTCACTACGGATCCGCCGCCTGTAGCACCGAGTAAATACTTTTTCTTCAGTTCCAACGATAACTTGGACGCGATACCTTCTGTAGAATGAGTGCGATTCAATAGATAATCTCCTTTACGAGGATTTATCAATGGAACTCTATTCACGTTGGATCCTAATAAAGTCGTGTTGCTTTCCTTCTCGGGGCGACACAGATTCGAACTATAATTCGTTTTTAATTGCGATTTCGTGTCTACATCTTTTTCTTGTTTCAAATTCCCATTGATCGACGAGATAACTTTACTTTTCACTTGGACTTTCTTCGGCTCGACGTAATTTCCTCTGGTCTTACGGACGTATGAATCGTTGATCGTTATTTCCGGAATCTCGTGCTGCGTGGGGGTCGCACCATCATGTTCAAATTCAGAATCCGTTGATATTTCCGTAGCAGAATTTTCTTCACTCTCCTCAGACGTTTCTTCGTTAGAAGCTACCTGTAGGAATAAACAAGGATTAACGAATGAACATTAACAACAGGAATGTTAAATGTAACATATCAGACAATGATAAATTCCGTTTAGTGTATTAGTGAAACAATTAGTGGCAAGGAATACGATGCATCTCATCAGAAGTGTTTCACATTAAAATCTGAACCTTCCCGAAGTCAAATCGATCAATTTTCTAATCACACCATTAAATTGATCAGTCTAGCTTCTATCTGGCTCGTTTGTCAGCTATTTTTAATACTAGTGTTCAGCAGAAATAAATAACGTGTGGTATTACGAGTGTATTTGAAAATGTGTGATAGCCCTGATTCATTAGTTAGCCGCCTAATCTTTTACTGTGAAACTGATTGTAATGGCACGAGTTTAAGACTAAAATGAAACAGTGAGATTTTTTAATAAAGTATTGGCTGGTGGTAACTCGAAAATTAATACGACTTGGTATGTTACGACGCCAGTTTTAGCATTAATACTTAAACCAACACACAAAAACAATTAATCAGTTTGAGTCACTGTTAATTTAGAATTAGTTCAACAGGTCACTCCATTCTTATGTAAAACTGCTTTACCTGTTCTCTTTTTCTCAACGGCCTCGGGTATTTTCTTTTTTTTTACAAGTGATATACCACCATCAGCCAACTAAAGTTATCTTGTTTTCTACTTTATTAACGCATCTCACACAATTTTTCTAAATGTAAATCATAAAATTGAAAAATAATAATACATTTGAGAGTATTCATATAGCGATGTGATCGAACATTTTGCTCAGCACTCGTGGTTGTTTTATCGTTTAAAAATATATAAATCTTAATCTAATTTACTAGGATACTACACATTTATCTTTCTTAGCTCTGTCGTTTTTAGAAGACACGGATCTCATATATTCACGCTGCTCAGAGTTCGTTAATGGGAGAGACTTCAATGCATGAGAATGTTTATGTTCATTAGAGCTAGTATTTCCTAATCCATCAGATGTTTTAATTGTTTCACTATTGCTTTTTAATTTATTAGCGTTTACGTTTCCTATACTTTTGCGTTCAATGGTATGAATATCTGGCGCGGCCAATCTTTCATCATGTGTGATGGAATTTTGTTGTGTACCAGAGGTAAGTTCTTCCGAAGAAGATGAAAGATTAGGTGTTTTTTTCGAAGACTTCTTCCTCATAGGAATCTCAGGGGCAAGCTGTACGTTCGACTTAGTAGATGTCATTAAAGACTTCGATGCTTGATGTTTCCTTTCTGGCTTCTTTGGCACTTCATTTACCAAATCTGGTATAATAATGTCATTATTCACGTACACTTTAGTTACGTATTTTGGTGCTTCCATTTTCTGTTCAACAATTTTAACTTTGGCAATTTTATCGTATGCGGTGGGTAAATTTGTTAATTCCGAAGAAGATTTGGAGTTTTTGCATAGCGCTTCGGATCTGTTAATAATGTCTCTTCTTATATTTAAAGTGTTATCGCTTCCATACAGACTATCATGAGTATTAACGTGTACCTTATTCGGTATTGATATAATTTGTTTTACTTCGGTATTGTTAGCAGAATTAATTGCAGAATCCGTCTGTCTGCATAATTTGTTTTCTATGCCTTGCAAGCATAGTGATTTTGATCCTTTTTCATGTAGATCTGTCCGCATCTTGCTATTTCCCAGTTGTACATTTGTTTGTTCTTCTCTACAAGAATCAACCGGTACGTCCATCTCTTCTGATTTAAGTTCTACTCTTTCCAATATAGCTCCTTCTGTGCTGATTACATTCTTCTGAGAATTATGCGTTACTCTATCACGTAGTTTATTGTTCAAAGTGTTATCGATCAATAGTTGCACTAGCTGCATTTTATTCTTTTGAGAATCAACAGCATGACTTCCAGGTAATTTACTTTCGAAACTACTACAGTTTTGCTGAATCAACTTATCACTGAATTGTTCTTGTGGCTGAATTTCTTCCTTGCGATGACTAATTACTGACTCGTTACTTGATTCAGCTTTATGATCTACGTTTTCTGGATGCAGTCTCGTAAATACCGTATTTAAATGCAATTTCGATTCAATATCTTCAGTATCAATTGAGGATATATCCTCGTTCTGTCGTTCTATCTGTTCAAATTTCTCATCGATGTCATCGACATCGACATTATTTAATTCATCAAGGTTTAAGTTTATATTGCACTCGCTTTCTGGACTTTCAGTTTCTTCTTCGGTCGCAGCTGTCTCCAATTTGTCGCAAGACTCTTGTTTCTTAAAATATTTCATTATGTCTCTTGATTCAACTTTAGCAGACACTTTCGGTTTAATATTTAATTCGACGAATTTCGTATCAGACGATTTTTGATCCGCTGCAAGGTCATTCTTACTTTTCCCCTTCTTTTCATTCACGAAATACTTGTTGATCTTTCTTCGAGCGTTCTCTGTGGATAGCGGCCGAAGTTCACCGATCGAAATTTTATTTTTCGCTTTCCTCTGTCTTAAATCTTGTTTCAGCTTATCGAAAGGACTGTTTCCTTCACGAGGTATCGTTAATTTAAGGTCTTCGATGGACGTCATCTCAAGCGATTTCTCATTCGTTGGCGATGGCGAAGTGATAGTGACGATCGGTATCTGTTTAATGTCTTTTATGGATATTTTCAATTTTTTGTCTTTTAATTTCTTACGTTTCGACGTACTGTCCGAATCGCAGGTCTCCGATTCTCCCGCGGTTAATTTGTCACGAGCGTCGGACATTAATAATTCGTCGTATAACGTTTCAGTCGATTTGTAAATCTCCGACGAAGAAGATGGTGACGGTGCTCTACTTCGGCTTGGAGAAGAAGCTATCAGATCTGGTAGTTTCTCCGTCAGGTTTGAAACTTCTTCGGTGTTAGGCTGCATTGTATTATCGTAACTAGCCTGACTAAATGGAATAGCATCTGGAAGCATAACTCCTGCAAACGCTGTTTGCAGTTCAACATTTAATATACAACTTGTCTCGGACGTGACATCCGGACCGGAGATGGTATTATTATTTACTTTGTTATTTATAGGTACAATTGTGTGGAGTAATTCAGGACTAATGGTATTCATTCTATTAAAATTATCCTCGTCAACAACTGCTTTACTATTTGAATCATTGCTAATATCACTGGTTTGATTATTCCCGTTCGATTCAGTCTGAACTTGGTTTGCATTTACATTTAAAACACCAGTGTCTTCTGCCAAACTTTCGTATTCCGAGATACTATAGTCATTTACACTATGATCATCTATATAGTTACTTTTACAGGAATTATCTTGCACGATGGAGTAATTAGGAACAGTTAAGGAGGAATCTGAATTTATGGTGTCTCGTTCTACATCATCCGATATTAAATCACAAGGGGAGTCAGGCAAAGGAATTACGCTTCCACATGCTTCATTTAGAGGTGTGTTCTCCTTATCATCGATCTTTACGTTATTCCCTACTTGTTCATTTGTATTCCCTAATAACACATCTGTCGATTTTTGAACATCTTTCGTGTCAATGATATCACGACTAACTAAAACTTCACTGTTATTCACGTTTGTCTCTTGGGGTGATATTAAATTGGGAACCTGTACAGGAGATACGAGCGATTCTCGAGTTACGTTATCTACAGAATCTTGAGAAATTTTCACCTCCGTTTCCGAACCGGTGTCTGTATCGGAGCTACGCGTTGGATTCTTCAGCCAGACTTCCTGCCTTCGAAGCTCTCTTGCGTGTATGTCGTCTTCATCTTCGGTGGCCGTCGTGCTCTCATCGTCTAAGCAAACGCGCGAGCAATATTTATTGCAAAGAGAAAGCTCCTCTGCCAATCAAGCAACAACAATTTCTTGACAACGATTGTACCTTCGTTTGTATATTCATCACTAGAATCTTCGTATTCGTTGCTTCCGGTGTCAGATTGCCCCATTGCAGCATGCGGATGAGAGTATCGCAACGTCCAATTCTTAGCGAGTTCAAGAGTGCCTTCTGTTGTCAACGGCTGATCGATTGCCTCTTCATACACTTCGTTGTCTTCATCGGAATCACTGGAGAAATATTAACAAACCGTTTGAAAATCTCTTACCTCAATTACGTTCGCTGGCAAGGTGGAACGTAACTTACCTCATGTCAGAGATATCATCACTGGAGCCCATTTCCGCAGTAGAGGCACCGAAATTCCTGTCCGTCCATTCGTCTTCGTCCATCTGACTTTGAGGTTCTTCAGGGTCCGATATACCAGCCAAGTTCTCGAATTCTATTCTTTCCGGAGTTTGTCCGCGATCAAGTAAATCTAAACCGACGACGCCTTCTAAAGATATTTTTGCCTGAAAATAATAATCGCACGATTTTACAATAATATTTCACCGAATTGAAAGTTTTGTAATAACGTGGTGTGTATGTGATTAATTTTAAGCAAGTATATTATGATAGAATTGAGGTCATACTTTTTCTGGTGATTTTAAATGTAGAGGCGAAGTAGGTATGTTTTCCTTGTTTATCGATGTGATTTTCTTCTTTTCTACACGAGCTTTAAGCGTTCCTGGGAAACCGAAATGTTGTGTACAGTAAAATCGACCTCCATTTTTATCTCGGTCAAACGTATGATTTCCTACAATAAAAAGAGTAATTAGCAAATATGATGTCTATAGAGTTAGTAAATTTAATTTGAACAAATGAAGATGATAATTGAACCTATTCTTAATGAGGTAGAACAATATTCGCAACGGAAACAGCCTCGATGGAAAAATTTCCCTTCGGCACTAAGTCTCTCCATCAAGTAAACTCTTTTATTGCAAAAATGACACGTCTCTGAGCCTCCTTGCGTAGGTAATGCTATCGTGGATTTAGTGTTCTGTAAAGAGGGTAAAGAAAAGCGGAGTAGTAATCGGTAGCTACAGGTGTTTAATATAAAGGAATTTTAGTCAGCACGTGTGTATCTTTTTCATTTCTATTGTGTTAATTATTACGTTACACGATTAAATTGTACATGAAACGAAGTGTCAGTTTTATATCATTAGAATTGGAGACATCTTAGTTATAAGATTTAGTAAGGAGATCTTAAAAATAATTAATTGTCCGTTATGAACACGTGTTATAAGGCACATAAAATGTTTTTCATACCCTGTCAAGAGTAACAGATACAATTTATAGATACGTAGGTACGTAAGACGGTCTATTCGAACGAAATACAATAACTAAATGTCACAAGGACGATCGTAACATCTTGCTGACTATATCCTCGAGTACTGAAATTCTGGAAGATCGTAATTACCGATTTCTGCACCTTGGGTTCCGTGTCCTGACCTTTATTCGAAAACTGTTCGGCCATAGCCGAGACTTTATTGTAACCGAGGACATTACCCTCTTTGATCTTCCTGTCAATATTCTTCAGGGTATTGTCAATATCAGCGTACTTACTATCTGTCTCCTTCTGATCCCGTCCCTTCTTCTCCATCTTGATTTGTCGAGCTAAAAACTGAATCAAGCATATACACATCTGAAAAACATTTATTGTCGGTTACCGTTTTAATCATTCTCATGCCAACCTGCTCTCGACTCCATTTCGGCACCCGTTCCACTTTGTCGTGTCGTACCGAACGATTTGTTTTACTCTCTTCAATTTTCTTCTCGATCTCTTTCACGTTCCAATCGGTTTTCTCGATCTTACCTTCACAATGTGACGCAGCATGATTATATTCTTGAACGACGAGCATTTAAATACGACTCGAATCACGAGAAGTATTACTTGTACGATCAAGTGATGGCAGTAAATAAAAATACGTACCAATCGCACGTAGAAGATCTTTAGGCTTCTTTTCAGCAGGGGTCGATCCCTTCAGTTTGTCCTCGATACTTTTTATTCTACCAGAGAATTCCTCGTCTACGCTGTTTCTATGATGGCCAGCGTGTATCTTGGGTTCTCTGTCCTAAAAAGATGAATGGCGTATGAAATTTGAACAAGTGAACGACAGCTCGAATGACCACAAATTTGTAAGACTCGTACAGAAAAGCAAAAATGCATCAGAAGTCGTAATCACAGTACAAAAGAAACTATAAAAAGGAATGCAGTTTATTAATGTACGCGTATGAATAATAAATTAGATTGTCATACTTTCATGTCCTCTGCAATGTGTTATGTTAGTGTTATGGTTGTTTAAGAATATATTTAAGCGCTCGCAATAGATATTACAAACACCCCTTTCCTCTCTTCAATCTGTTAGTGGCATAATCGAGAGTCATCGCACTTTTTAATATCGTCAGTGCATAAACGTCATGCATATTTCTATTCCAGTTCGCACGTTATTTGCATGTAAGTAGTTAATACACTTTTATTGGCAAAGAATAAATCACCAAATGTTGCACACCATGATCGATTAGTATGTAACCGAACAACTTCTTTGTTTCAAGTTATTTGCATACGTTTAAGTTAGATATTTGTCTATTAAGAAATGTACAACAGTAACTCCAAAAATGATTAAAAAGAAAAAAAAGAAATACATAATGCACTCCCAAGATCATTCCACTCTCCAGCTTACTGGATATAATATTTTCTGCTCTAAGGATTTCACTCTATCCTTAAAATCCGGTGCCGTTTGTCGATACAAGAATATTGAGTAATCTTCGAACGGCTCGTCTTTCTCGCGTTTCGCATTCGCTTGCAGCATTTGCATACTTTTGTAGAATTGCTGCGTGGCCATTTTTCGTAAATATTGCCGCCGTCTCATACGTTCCACGCGATTTTTCTCGATCTCAGCGAGTCTCTTCTGTCTCTCCTCCTTCACGGCCACCGTGCAAGCGTACAACGTCACAATTAATTCAATTTTATCTATGTAATTACAATGATTTTTTTTTATTTTTCTACACGTCATTCAAGTTTTCATTCAATTCAGTCGTTTTCAAGTCGTACGACTTATGTTACGTGGTATCAAACTATTAAATTCGTAACGATCACAACGGACAAGATACAGAAAGGGGTTTGACCACGCTGACAATAATTTCTCTTCACTTGTTTTTTAACAAAGGGGACAGAGCAACGGTTGCTTTTATTTTTGTAAATCTAAATTATGTAGTCTCTCTAACGGGTCACTAATCGTAGCAACTAGCAAACTATTTGTTCTAAACTGTTTTTTAGTAGAATAAGACAAATACAAAAGCTGGCGTAGCAAATATATTATATATATATATATGTATGTATAACATAAACATAGATATAGAAAAAGTTTACAACATAACCGAGGGTCTTTTTTTGCTATGTTCCATTGAAATACTTTGGCCGACTATACGAAGCGATTAAAACGTAAGGACTTCCTTCTGCACCATGGTAATGGTAGCTCCGATAATTAAGATTAAGAATGATACGATTATCCCACGATACATAAGTGCTTCGATCTTCTGCCACCGTGACTATAGGATATTAAGCAGTGTAAGTTTCGTGTGTGAATTGTTAGTGTTTGATTTTCAACCCTTTATAGAATTGAAACAATTATAAGAGGATTGTTTCCATAAAGCGTTGAACACGTGATTCAACCCTTTGCATTCATCCCTTTAATTTCCTATGTCACCTGACGTAATGTAATGCAAAGGGTTGAGACTAAATAAAAATGTTGAATAAAGATGTTTCATCTTCTGTGATAAATAAAAATATTAAATGAAAAAATGTTTCATTTTCATCACCTTGGATGATCTGCTAAAACCAGTCAGCCATTGAAAAAGTGCACGTTTAAAAATATGTAAAGAAAAATATATCTCCTCTCACGTACTAACAAGAACGATATATGGAATACATAATGGGATAAATAAAATACTCACCACTGTCGCTCCCATCTTCTCAGTGCTTCGTCTCTTACGAGATCGTCGGCTAATCGTATCCCCTTTCTTGTCCGCGGGGTTCAAGTTTTCGTTATATCGCGATCGTGAGTGTCTCGTTCTCGTCGCACCGTCTTGCTTGACGATCAACTGAACCTTTTGGTCAGGCGTCAACTGACTCAATTGCTTACTATGCGCGGGCCTCTCTTCATTTTCAGGTTCCTTTGCAAAAGACGATCAAATGCAATCGGTGTACAGACACATATATGCGTATGTATAAATAAAAAGAGATGAAATGAAGATTAACAGAATTACTGCGATAAGTACGATTAATTATGTGACAGATTTATTATGTATGATTGACATCTGGTTAACTTTACTATCGCCCAAATGACAATACTCGTGATCCCTATTCGATGGGTTCATCGGTTCAAATGTTTTCTTCAACGATGATGCGACTACATTGTTCTGACGTTTATTTCTTATCCTTATCTCAAATCTGTCATCGGCTTCTGTAACGCTTTCGTTTAACGATACTCTGTTATTGTTATGATCTAACGATTCGATGGTGGTGGTTTGTCGTGGAAATATTCGAGGAACGGGGCGTGATAACGATTCTGTCCTTCGACATGACTGGCCGTGATTCCAACGGGACGGGGGATCGGGCGTTCGTGGACGAGGATGGGTTTCGCTTGTTAAAAGGTGTTCCGACGATTGTAAATGTTTCGTCCGCGATATAGGACACGATACTGAATACTACAAAATCAAGGGGAATCAAGTTACAGACTGTCTGGTTTCATATCGTGCTGGTTTACTTACTAATTTCGGATGTTTAATATACGGGATTTCACCGCGAAACACATCGTATATCTGAGTGAGGTAGGAAAACATAGCGAGCTTGTCGGGCACGTCGCATTGAGCCATCTCTTCTCCCGTCATTATCTATAATGATCAACCGTTTAAATGTCAAACTATTTCTGCGCGCGTTGCATTTCACATGGTGTCAGATCGCTGTACGTACAGTGTCGATCTCTATACGAACATTTAAACATAACTTACAGGAGATATGCCCAGTTCTTTTTCCAAAATGTCGAAGGCCAACTGATTGTTCGTAACTGCGTCGTCAGGGTTTAAACTGTGGAAGTCTATTAGGTTCGGACGGTATCTATGAATAATCGCGCAAATAGCAAGACCGTTCTTAAACGAGGCACCCATGTCTTCTATTCGGACCGAGTCGTAGAGAGCAACTTGCTTCTGCAGCCAGCGAAGCAGGGTGTCCGGGTGTACTTGCGACTCACCTCGCAAATCTGTATAGTACAATTTAACGATTGGTCGAAGCTTCTTAACATAAGCACACGTAATCGAGTGGTAATTAAATTTACCTCGACGGCGTCGTTTCTTAGGTATATCGATATCGGTCTGTACAAGAGGCTGTTTGATGCTTTCGGGGTCGTCTGTATCCAGTAAACTCCGTACTTGTATCGGGGTTACAGAGGATACGTTCAAATTGGGATACCTTAAAAGTACAACATGTTGTTAGGAACTGTCTGCTAAAAAATGGGAAAATATATAGATGTATTAATCACGTATAACGAAAAACCTCATACCTAGTATGAGGGTCCAGCGTATATGCGGCATAATCCCTGTTCAAATTTTCAGGTGTCGTTTGTCCAAGTAATCTATAAATGGATTCTCGCTCAGCGATCACTTCCAATGGTGAGATACTCGCGCCCCACCCTTTGATTGCCCAACAAGCATCTAACGAACTTAAAAACCCCCTCGCGCAACCTGAGCCAGTTGGCCAGAACGGCTGGAACAGTTTTATATTCATTTGGATTAGAATCACTTGAGCAGTCCGTTTTAATGGAATACGATTTGTAATGGAAACGTTGAACGTTACCTCGAGCAAGCTATCACCGACGAGGATCATGAGCAACCGATGACCATGACGCTCCAAAACTCGGCTGGCGTTCTCCGCCGCGTACATGGACGTGAAGTCGAACATAGCTACGTCTGGCTGACCGTAATGGTTCACCGCGAATTCCATGTCCATCATTTGGTATTCAGTGGAGAATTCGGCTGCCTCGCGAGCGTATAGCATCAGCGCTTCGCGATCCACGTTCTCTTTCGCGAGCAATTTCGCTGTATCCGCATGGTCCTGATGCGCAGACAATTAATTATCTTCATTCGTAATCCACAGTCAACGTAGAAACGATAAAACCAATTATATAATGTGACGTACTTGCAAAATGACTCCTTTGTCTATGAGACTATGCTTCTTGGCAGTCATAACGAAATAGTGAGTGTCATCTTTGTAGTACACGATGTTTTCTAAATCTATGCCAGTTTCCTGATACAGCTCCTTGAAGAATTTCTGATTGAAGATGAACGCCACCCCACTGATTTCTTCCACTCGTGCCTCCGCCTCGGTTCGTTTGTTTATGAAATTGGCCGTAATAGCAATAGCCAATTTACCGCGAAACTCCTTGCGCTTGAAACCGTCCAAAGTGTTCCTCTTGCCATCGGCGCCAATTAAAACGTCGAACTCGTATTGGGAAACTGGATGATCGACAGGAGTAGTTTTTGCCCTCCAACCAATTTCTGAAATCACGAATTATAAATGATTAAAAATCAGCATCGTATTAAGTCAAACGTCGATTATTTAATAAAAAATGATCGATCGAACAATCACTTACTGCCTTCTTCCTGGCTCTCCGGTGGCGGTATCAACGAATCGAAGCTGACACTCTCGTGGAACTCGACGCCGAGAATCAAAGCGACTTTCAGCAATATACACTGAAGCTGCCTGATGCTGATGTGATCGATAGAGCCAGCGCAAAATTTTCCGAAGAACTTTTTCGCTCCAAGAGCACGGAGGTCTTGAATGACGAAAGGCCAAAGATGGAGAACATTGTTCCTCGACATCCGGTCTCTTTTCTCAACAACGACGACCTTAGCACCTAATAGCTGCGCCTCTATCGCCGAGCGAAGTCCACAAGGACCGCCTCCGATGATCAGTACCTAAGACATTATAACGGGTCACACAGATTAATATTTTTCTGTAATCTTCGATGGATTATGCAAAGAGTGACAGTGCTTGTGTAATCATTGGGACAGCGAATGGGGCTCAATGGGCTCAAAACACAGTCGTATTCCCTTACCCTGGTATTGGGACATGCCTTGCCACGATTGTAACACTTGTGGTTGGCTCGCTGATCGAATTTCTTCCAGAGTGCCTGCGCCTTCCACGATCGCAGTTTTCCTTTCAATTTCGGGTAGAACTGATTGAACGTGTTCGGTCTGATCTTGAGCAGATCGCATAGATGCCTGTAGTGCGCGAGGATGGACTTGAGGGTAGCCGCGTTGCAAAACAGATCGAACTCCTCGTTGGCTCTCGCCACTTCCGACGAATTCGTCGGCTGCTTCCGACCGGCCTGCTGATGATCCATTTTCCTGAATCTGTGGTGCTTTCTGTACTCGAATCGATGATCGTGTCAGTCTATCATTACCTGCAAGTAAAATCGTATCTATATCAATAAAATTCTTTTCTCGGATGAATTTAGATAAATCTGATAACGACATCGCTACATTTTATAGATTCCATTTATCATTTCTGCGTATTGAAATTCTTTATAGATTCGCAGGTGCTTCGAGAGTAAAATTATTATTATAAAATGGCAATGATCTAGAGGCTGAGAGATCGAGCGATCGGACGAACAGGCGCGTCCTAAAGGCGAGATAGTCGGCTGGTACTGAGGGGCTCGGAACCATCCTCGAAATGTCACGAGTCACAAGGTGCCGATCGACGTGCCTTCTGCGTGCCTTTCGCGGTTCGACTCGAGCATACGAGTCATTGATGCCCGTCTTCCGACGAGTGCGAGCTAAATGCAGAGAGAGGCCGGAGTCAGGAGTCGTGACGATGTACCGGCGGCGCGGCGCCAGAACAAGAGGGATTCGGTCACGCTCCGGCCACGTATTGATTCACGAATCAATTTAGAAACGACTTCCGCGACAGGAATCCCATAATTCGTTACGCCGACCGATTCCCAATGTTAAATGCACCGTCTTCGTTGGCCGTCGCGTATACTCGGTCGTGAACGAGCGTCCGCGCTCGTCGGATCAAAGACAAAAGTGGCGGTGGTGTCTTCGGTCGGGTATCTGCTCGGAGGTCGACCGATGATTACAAGTTCGAGGCGTGCAATTTTATCTCGACGGGCGGGAGCGAGCGTTAATTTCTTTCCCCGGTGCGGCGGTGCTCGGTACAATGACTCGTTATGCACGGTCACGTCCTCGCCGATCGTAATATCGCGATGCCGCCGCGGCGTGTAGCCGATACACCCGGTGGTGCTCTTGCACACGGTTCTTTGAACTTGCGACCTGATAACTCCGCATTCCTGCCGAATACCTCTGCCCCGTCGTCGCGGATCCGAGCACATACGTATCGGCCGGGAAAACGGAAGCCTCAGTTACTTTCCCCCTTGGACGTCCTTCGGAGATTAAACTCTCGTCGCGTTATCGATCGCCTTTAGAGCGACGCTCCACCCTATGCGCTTTTTTTATGCTCTTCGATGATGCGAATAATATTGTTGACGCTACTTACTCGTGCTTGAACTATCTCACTTCCGGGGGAAGGTATAATTAATATCGAAGGTGAACGAACTGGACGTGAACCGAACGCGGCTGTATGCGTTCGGTGAGGAATTCGTTTAAAATAGTTATTGTCTGGAACGTCTCCGATTAAAGTTGTAAGAATCCTTACACAGAATAACAATGACAAAGCGTTGAAATTTTAATCATTAGTAAATATTACATTAATAGAACACTGTTTAAAATTT